TGTTTTGCGTTCGAATTCATAATGAAGCTACGAATTAGTTACTTAGGATTTCGACACAGATGTCCGGCTTGCGTCGAATCATAATTGATTAATTTTCGCTGGTTATTGTGATCGACACATGAGCGACAAATTTCGCGTTCACTATAAAAACGCACTATGTCGCGGGTCAAATTCGCAGGTTCACCCTTAGAACAAATAACTCATCGACGCGAAATCACACAAATTTACATCGCGATAAAAACTCTATACAAAAATGTTCTCAAAACTACCGATTTTCTCGTATTTCTTTACATCATAACCTGGTGTAATTCTAGGAACACTGAAAAGCGATTCGACGCGAAAATGACTGCCTCACTCAAAAAACAAACAACAAAAAATTATCTCTGGTTTATCTGAAACTGTAAAACATCTTGGTTATGACATTCGCGAAGTTCGAGATGGGGTAGTAATGCCGGATCTGGTACATCCAAATCGCCTCAAAATTATACTGGTACCATTTCCGATCTCTGGGAAGATATTGATGTCCTATTCAAAGAAAAGAAAAAACACGAGAAGCGGTCTATGGCAAGGTTGTATCCAAAGGTGGCGATCAGTGATGCCACCGTTAGAAATTTTCATAAAAAATTGACTAAAAATCCGAAAGAAGATACGCTGGATTCATTAAAATTATGGGTATCAAAACAGAAGGGTGAAATAGATACTGAACCGGAAAGTGAGGAGGAAAATAGTGATAGCGCTGGACCTAGCGGGACGAGAGAATAGGGGTAGTCGTCGCCTTTTAGGCAGGCTTTGGGTCCGACTACTTCAGTATCTGAGAAATTGGATACTGTTTACTTCCCATGCAGTTTCGCTATGGTCCAAGTTTTTTATAATGTATTTAGGCATTAATGTATTTAGGCATCTCCTATAGTTTATCAAAAATCCCAAAATAGTAATGTACTGATGTGATCGATCAGTTAATCAGACTATTTTTTAATGCCATGTGCGTAATCAATATCAAGTTCGTGTAACTGAATCTCTTATATATACCCATAGCGCCCCATTGATGAAAAATCTTCTTGATCTTCTTGTCTATCCATACCACAGCTATAAAAATCCACCAAAAAATCATATATAACTCAAAATGTCTACTACTTTATAAAAATCCACCAAAAAATCATATATAGCTCAAAATGTCCACTACTTTATTCTGTCTCGTCAAAGGAAACACATCCACGAACGCTTTCTCTGTTAAAATAAATAGGGATGAGCCTATTAGTGAGCTCAAGGAAGCTATCAAAGCGAAAAAGCAGAATGATTTCGCTGGTGTTGACGCCGACAAACTCAAGTTATGGAAGGTGGAAATCCCAGCCGATCGCGATGACCTTATTCAAGGACAACCTCAACTTTTACAAGATAACGACCAGTTAAAGGCAACAGACTATATCGATGATTACTGGACTGTCACCCCAAAAAGAAGGCACATCCATGTAATCGTTGAGGCCCCTACTGGTAATTAATTATCTTGCTTACTGCTCAAGCCACACATTAAATTCCCTCACTGTCGTTGTATTTTGATATACTGTTTGCGATGTTGACTAACTTGTGCTTTTTTCTTTCATATTGTCAAACACCGCCCAAAACTCAGCTCACGTCTCACCACCAGCGCGTAAGTACAAGGAGCTATATTTTTGTTATCATTTCATTCTTGGCTTGGTTATAACTTATACCGAGAATCCTTTCCTTTTATATATAGAAAACGATCAAAATCATGTATATATATTTATTGACAACTCCAACCTTTTCAATCAAGCCAAGCCTGCAATTAGTGAACTTGAAGGGAGCGAGTGGTTGCTTGAGCATCCTAGGCGCCTTCTTATTGATTACGGGCGACTTCTTCAAACAATTCAGGGTCAACGTACGTTGGGTGACATTCCGGTCCTTGTCGGCTCTTGCCCACCATCACCGAATGATTCACTGTGGGCACGGATTAGAGAAGAAGGGTTCAAAGTAATTCTCTACAACCGGAATTTTGACAACCATGAAAAGAAAGTTGATACGACAGTTGCGCTTCATATGTGTGAAGCAATCTTTACAAAAAGGCCTGCGGTGTTAGCGCTGATCGCTGGTGATGGCGACTATTACCCGCAAGTGGAGAAGGCCTTGCAGAAAAACTGGTCTGTCGAGATATGGTTCTGGGAACAAGGTATAAAACGATTTTTGTGCTTTTTCTGCGACTGCTTTCTGCTTGAAAAGATCAGTACACTCAAATCTATACCCTTCCGTGTTAGTAGACTCCCCACTTTGCGACGAAAATACCCCGCCCCAATTGATGAAAAAATTATTACCTTCAAATCAGTACCCTTCTATGTCATTTACGGATTTGCCTGAATCATTTTCTGATGTAAATTTCCCATCTTCCAAAGGAATGTCTAAGGATCTTACAGAACCGACCCTCCGGACAATCTTCAAACCTCTGAGCAGAGTTTACAAAAGTTTCACATGTGTCAAGGGACCAAATGATATTAATGAAACACTGCCGACCCTTCAGATCACGGACGGCGAGAAGAGGTGCAACTTGAGAGTGGGCCAATTGCTGGATTGTTTTGCCAGCTTGAACGTATTCGGTTGGTGGGACCGTGAGGGCCTATCTTTGTTATTATATTTTAGAAATCCGAACGAACTCAAACGGGCGAAAGAGTGGATAGAGGCTAAAAATCTTGGTATATTCGTTGGGGAAGTAGTAAATCCGAGACGCAGAAGGCGTTAGACTCAATCGTTCTAAGTCCAGTTTCAAAAAATTGTGATTTGCATTATGTCATTATAGCAACTGGCGTAACAGAGATTGACAATTCACAAAAAATAATTGTGTATTCACTCGATTAGGTCGAGCACCAAGAAAAAATTTTTATTTTTCCGCATCTAGTATGATTTCTATCCAATTGTTTAAATCTCAATCAAGTGTGGTGGAATGCAAGACAAAATTTGGTTAACATTCGAAATTTCGGATTTTTATCGACCTAGTGAGATTTTACAGGTCACATAATGCTAGACTCCAATTCTTGCACTATAAGTGATCGGCGTTCCGAAACGGAACGCGCACGTGATCTTTATTGACTCGCACTTTTGAATAGATCTGTATCTTGAATAAAATAATGGCAAACTTTCCATCTAAAATTGATCCATTGAGAGCATTGAATTCGAAGCTCGTGGCTGAGATCACCGAACTTAGAAAGGTGAATGCGCAAACTACGAAAGAAAAATCTGATCTTGAGGCCGAGAATGCGAAGCTAAAACAAATGATAGAAGAAAGTGCTAGACGTGAAGCCGAGAATGCTAAACTTAAAGCCGAAGTTACCAAATTAAGACATGATTTTGAGAAGCTCAAACGGCAAATCCGAGTTATTACTAACGCACAGGATATGCCTTCTTTTGCAGAGCAAAGCCACTTACATGGAACAGAAGATATTTCGCACTCTCCAATCAGTTTACCATTGCCAGTAACCCCCCAATTATCTATCCCGCCACCTAACGGGACTACTACTTTGATAGGAAAGATAATATCAGTGTAAGTCAGCGAAAAGCTGTGCCCAAGTCATTGGAAGAAAAGGAAGAAGATGAATTCCTGGATTCAACGCATAAGGCACAGGTTAGTAAAGAAATAATTCAGAGTATTAAGGAGAAGAAACTTCGAGATCAAGAGTTGCTCTCAACTCCTGAGAATAATACTCCTAATATTTCTCGTGAGCAAGATTTAATACAAGAGATATCGTCATATATGAACGGAGCTGGCACGGCCAAAGAACAGGCACAAAGTGTCATTTCTCCCGAAAAAATCAAGCGATCAAAATTTCAGCGAACATTGTTTGTCCAAATCATGTGACCGAAAATTCAGAGAACATTGTTCGTCCAAAGCATGCGACCAAAATAACCCAGGACTCAGAGACCCAAGATATTATCTGTCTATATAAAAATGCATGCGATGCAGAAAAATGTGCAATCGAAGCCAATCAAAAGGAAATATTGTGCTGGTATTTCTATACTAAAAGATTCAAAGGTATGGTTAAAGATTTTGTAATCAATGAGAGAAAAAAGCAAAGGGTCAAGTATACGATTTTATTATCAAGCAACTTCCTGGTACCAAGCGTGGAAATTTATGTAAGCAAACACAGAAAGCTTTAAGAATTTACAATTTATTCGAAAAAATAGGAATGGATAAGATTCAATATATCAAAACCTATAGCGCAGATACGATTTCAAGATTTACTAATTCGCAGATTCAAATAATTATAGAACACTTTACCGAAAAGCCTAATATGGAATTCACTGATGATCGAGATGAGTTTAATAATGATTCTTTAGATGATTTACCTGAAACTGAGACAAGTACAGCACTTGTACCTAGTGAGAAATCGAAAGAAATATCAGAAGCCAAGGTAAGTAAGCCAACTAAAACTCAAGCCTCTGGTGCTTTTTCCAACTCGAAAATAAAGGTGAGTGTAGGATCTATGCCTGAAACTGAAAAGAAAACTTTATCCCAAAAGACCTTACCTGAAGAACAGAATAATCTGGGTCACGACCGTGCTATTTCCTGCAATAAAGCATTGGAACAATATCCTGATCTATATTATGAATTCAGCAGTGAAAATATTGATTATTATGGAATTACTGCCGAGACATTATGTCCTTTATGCAAGTTAGACCATGATGATGAGGAAGATATATTTCTTTTGATCTTTTATTTGGAAAATCAAATAATAAGTAAATACTACACAGAAGTCATAAAATAAATAACTATTTGATTTATCTTTTCTTTCCTTAAATTATGTTATAGCTTTTTAATAATAAAAAACAAATATCAAAATATTATATAATTCTTGAAGAAAGAGCTAAAATAATCATTTTATTTCAATATTACAAGAGAAATAATAAGAACTCATAAAATTAGTTCTTTTACTATATTATATATTAATAAAAAATAGCATAAACAATATATTTTAAATGATATAAGTAAGTTTGGTCATTCATAATTCTTAAATGACTAGTTAGAAAGAATAATAGCCTGTCTTATTATATCCTATAACTATTTCACTACTATTATTATTCAAAATTATCTTCATGAAACTGAAAATATTGAAATTTCAAAGTATACTATTTGTTATATACTAAAAAAAAAATAATTTAGTAACAAGAATAAAACAAAAAAAAACTATATTTAAAATTCAAATATTAATAATATCATCTTAAATTTATCAAAAAATATAAAAACTAGATTTATAAAAATTAGTTAAAGATAATCTAATCTGATGAATCTAAATTTCAGATTTTTAAATTTAATAGAAAATAATACTATTGGAAAAGAATTAAACTTATAATAAAATTTGGTGATAAAAAAGTAATGATATAAAGTTATTTTACCTTTTATAGTATTAATAACTTTTATAAGATTGATAAGAATATGAATAGCATATTATATTAATAAATTCTTAAAAAAAAAATTTTATAAATATTATTGAAAAATATAAGTTAATTATTAATAAAATTATTTTTTAACAGGATAATAATTTCAAATATATAGTCAATTTGATAAAAGAATAGTTTGATAATAATATTATTACTGTTTTAGATTGGCTAGCATAATTATCTGATCTAAATTCAATTAAATATTTATAAAATAAAGTAAATTATTATCTTTAATATCTTTTTGAATCAATTTCAGATATGGAAGACTTATAAAAAAAATATAGCTGATTTGAGAGAAAATTAATATGAATTATTATACAAATTTAATTCATTTTATATCAGAAAGAATTTGTGATATAATAAAAGTATATGATGATTATACTAAATAATAGTATATTAAATATAATTAAAAATAAAAAAATATAATATTTTTATTTTATATTAAGAATTATACAAATTTATATTAAAAATAAGCAAATATAATATAATACTAAAAATTGAATAAATATTGTAATTATGATATAATTGGTTTAATAGTCCATGTTAAATTTATTATATTTAAGTTATTTGCATACATAATTAGGTTTATTAATTATAATTTGATATTCTTAAGTCTTTGCAAAGATATCATGATTTAATAATTTTCAATTTTGTATTATATTATTTTTGATCACCACTATATTTTTCTCTTCTAATAAAACTTCTTGAGAATATTAATTATCTCTTGATTATTTTTGGTTAATATCCATTCAAAGCTATGTATAAGTACTTTAAAGTATATAAATTAGTTACCCGGGCAATTGAATCGATCGGCCAATCAGACGAATGTCCTCCTATCATTAAACAAACCAATCTGATTGGTGACACGTGATTTTTGTGCATAAATATACAATATATATTATTTTTTGTTTTCTAAAATTTCTGATAAATCCGCGTCATTTCCAACATTCCAGAACTGCTGAATTAGTTTTTTAGCATTGACCGTCAGTAAGTCCTTTTCTCGTGAGTTCGGATTTGTATTTCTAACCTCGGCTTCTTGACACGTGTAAAACCTGAGGATGCCATGTCCGCCTCACATATTCACCTCGATATGTCCGCCTCATGTCTGCCTCCGTGTTTCGTGATTAAGTTGGATGTATATCATATATATCGACTTTCAAAAGATATATAAGATTCTGTTTTTATGTTGGCTTGAGTGGCTTTAAGGCACCTTGTTGCGTAAAAGCAGTGCTTCGAGGCATATAAAACCTGAGGATGCCATGTCCGCCTCACATATCCGCCTCAATATGTCCGCTTCATGTCTGCCTTAGTGTGTTGTCATTGAAGCAGTTGCATCGTGGTTCCGTGCGATGTAACGATCTTGTGTTATCTGGAGACGGTCTCGAGTTGGAACTACATCTTTTTATCAGCAAATCTTTTTATTCCTATCAATCTCTATTAATTCCTTTTAATTCCTTTTAATAGCCTATCATCATGTTACCAGTTAGTACGGTCAGTATCAAAGTTTTCTGTTTATAGAATTATTTATTGCTTATAAAGCTTTTCTTCCCTTTTCAAAAAGCAAGGATATGTTGATATTTTAAGGGAGCTGTTGACAGAAGGCTTTACAGCTGTGAAGTTCTTCAAAAAGACCCATTTTAGTTATTCAATGAGAACGGACGCCGAAAAAGCTTTACGTCAAGCCCTAACTCATGTTTCTGCCGAAGATGACGATTTGGGTGAGCCGGCAAAATCTTTATTAGCTGTCGTCGACATCCATCTCAAGGCAAGCCGTACCGAAAAATTTTGGGCTTCTCTTCGCATCAAAGAAGAAAAAGATAGAACTTGCAGACTAGAAGAACTAGTTCTCGAAAAAAAGATTAAATATTTAATACCGAAATTTATACAATGATCTACACAAATGGTTTTTTTAATATAGCCCCACTAAAAATCATCTAGAAACAAAAATCTATCCATGTGCAGTTAAACGTTATAGATGAGCACATTCACGTAAGTGACGAATCGAAAATGGAATTTACAAAATCTACCGTGAGTAATTGAACTGAGATTGCGCTGAGGCTTAATAAACTTGGACCTATATAACTGATCTTTTCATGACTGTAGATGGAAGCTCCTAACTATAACGAAGCTGATACAATTGGATATCAACAACATACCAATACACCAAAAAAGCGTTCTTTCAAAGAAGTTCAAAATGTTCATGAAACCTCCTCTGGTGATTACACTGAAGGCGAAGAAGATGAGAACTACAGCGATGGCACGGAGGAAGGTGATGAAAATTGAATGACACAGGAAAAAAAGGAACAATTTCGAAAAATTTTCCAGGAGATACCTACAGAGGCAAAACTTGTATTAAGTTCAAAAACTGTTGTTGAGAATGTCTTGTTTGAATACGCAAAAGATCTAGATTATGAGAGATAAGTTCATTTAATCCGAACCTTTTAATATTTTCTACTCTAACATATTAAATCAATCATAGCCATGCACACTCCTTCATCATATGTGATTACGATGACAAAATGAAAGCATTATTCAGCAAAGAAGACTGGGAGGAACTTACGAAGAAGCCTTCATTGCCACCCGTTAACTATGAAATCGAAAAAGAATTGGCCAAATACATAAAGAAGGATCTTACTCAACTTCGCCAAGAAGTAATTCGCAATTTTCTGAAAAAAGATGAAGTTTATGATCCAAAGGAGCATTACTTTAAAGAATGGATCCAAATTATCTTGAGGCATCTGTGCAACCTTTATGAAAATCCGTCTGCCTCTTTGTGTCGGGGGCAGGTCTGTAAGTCAATCCCATAAAGAAGCAGTTGATGAAAATGAGGAACCAAATAACAATGAAGAAGAAGCAGTATGAGGACTGGTTTACAGTCAACTTGTTTGGAAATTGCTTTGATTTCTTGATGAGACATCCAAAAATGTTTACGGATATAAAAAGGACAGATGTAACATCAACTATCTCAGCAAATAGGAAAAATCGAGCTAAAAAACCAAAACAAAGAAAATTGATTGGCAGAAAGATTGATGAAATTATTCATCATCCAACTTATAATATAGAATTGGGTACACTTGAGGCAGCAAGATTCTTCGTAAATGATGGAGATAGAAAACTATTTAATTAATAATAATCTACACAAGATTTATATTTGCTATTCTTTTTCTTAATCACTACTATAGATGCAGATCATGAACTATCTGATGGCAAGATAATATTTTATTGAAGTATTCTCTTAATTTCTTTCTTTATAAATTCTTTTTAATAGGTAAACATTTATAATATGATTTCAGAGCTATTGGTTCTTCAGTTTTTGTATTAATTTTATGTTAAATAATTATAGTTTTTTTAAACTTTTTATCAAAAAGATCTTGATATTTATCTAGTAATTTTTCTAATTATTATCTTTATTCTGATATTAGATCTATTTTATTAAAATTTTCTTTACTATTTTGATAGAGCAGTTCTGATATTATTTTTATTTATTTATAATATTAATTATCTTTATTATATTTATAACATTCAGTTAATAGATAATTATTAATATAAGAGTATTTATCTAGATTAGTAATTTTATTTCTTTTTAATTTTTTAAATATTAAGTGAAAGAATTATTCTTTACTAAGTTAAGTATAATATTCTTTTACTTGTAAATTTAATACTATTATTTATTTATTTAGACTTTCTTGAATATTTAAAAGTAATTGATCAATATCATTATTTTTTTCATATTCATCTTTACTTTCTTTTTTTATTAAAGATTTCTTTTCTTTAAATCTATTAGTTGAATCAAAATCTTGTTGATTTCTTTTTAAATTACTAAGTTCTTTACAAATTGATACTAACTGAATTTTTATGATTTTTATTAATGATAAGAATATTACTTGAGTTATTTTCTTATTAGATTATATAATATATAATTAACTAGAATTATTATAAATTAATATTTTAATATTTTCAGTATATTTAATATTTATAATACTAGCTTTTACTTTTATTTCTTTGTAAGTTAAGAAAGATCTAGAAATAAGTTAATAAAATATTCCTTTTAATATTTCAATTATAATATATGAATTTATTATTATAATTTCTTGTGATAAAATAACAAGATCTTCTAATTCTGAATATTTCAGATCAGAGCTAGTATTTATTTCATGAACATATTCTGATATTTTTCTTTATCATTATTATTAAAAACTTTAAGTTTTATTTCTTTATTAATATTATATAGATTATTTTTTTTTAATTTTATAGTGCTTTTTTAAATATATAATAAATATTTTAATTTAATTCTTCTAATTTTCAAACTGTAATAAGTTCTTAATTCAGTTTATATCTGCTTTATAAATATGAATTCAATTATTTTCTAGTATAAGATTATAATTACTATTTATAGTTACTAATACTTTAATCTTAATTAATTCAGTTTCTAAAATAACTGATAAGTTAATTACTTCTCCAAGCACTTTTTCTTTTTAATTATTAATACTAATCAAATTTATTATACTAGATTTTTAAATCTTCTAATCTATCTTCTTCAAGAATTATTAAGTAATTATATTACTTATAGTATTACTATCAATTATTATTTTATAAGATTAATTATTAATAAGCCTATTTATATATATAATATCTATAGATATTTATTGATTTTATTAATTTTCTTTTTCATTTTCTAATAATAATTTCTTGAATTTAATTATTATCAATTAAAGATTTTTTAGTTATAAATATATTCTCATCTTCTAAAGATATATTTAAGAATTTAAATATTTTTCAGTATTTAAATAAGTATTCTATTTATTTTAATATGCTATAATGTGATCAAAGTTTAATATTGTTACCATTTTAAGATTATACATATATAATTATTTTAAAATGGTAATAGTAACTGTGTTCATGGTAGTTATTGACTTTTATAACTTCAAGAGATTATATAACTGGTTATCTTTTCAATAAGATGAGATATGTGAGATTTGTTTCTAATAAAATTATAATTATCTTCTCAATAAGATAATATATGAGTTTTACTTGTAACAAAATATGATTATCTTCTCAATAAGATAATATACGTGAATTTACTTCTTAACAAAATGCTCTCTCAATAGAGCAAGAAGAAAATAAGATAAGATATAAGATAAAATATATGTGTTTATTAAAGAA